CATGGACTAACTTCTTTACTTGCATTCGCCCGTAACGTGTGAACCCTTGCTTATTTAACACTACATCCGGGCGCCGATGTAGCGACCCTTGCACATTTTTCACTGCATTCCGGCTATACAACGCGCCCACGCCCTAGCACTTACACAAAGATCAAAATGATTCATGTCATGATTTTTTCGACAAGTTTTACGCTGGTTGTCGACTACCTAACGCAACCCTCCACTTTTCTCATCCGGGCTTAGGACCGACAACGGCAGTGTTAATAATGGAATTAGTTGATATTATAAACAAATAAAAATAAAAATAAAAATTCCTTCTAGCTATCTGACTCTGAATTTCAAGTCTAAAATGACAAAACTCACCAATGTTGCAATCTTTGAAGGAATAATAGTGTTCTTTCTTTGAAGCTCAAACACAAATTAAAATGACTCCAAGCTTGAAATTCAGCTTTTTAACTCAGCAATCTTCTTCTCACTTGAATCTCTCAAAATCTTCTTCTTCATACTAGCATGCTTTATATATATAACACAATTCTTATGTATTTACATTTCTAACAACTAAATTTTAATTTTTACATTCACAACACAAAGCTTTCATATCAAATCAAAAATAAAACTCTTACTAACATTTAAAGATTGAAGCACTTTTTTCAAGAGCAACTAAAATGTTAAGTGTAGGTGTTAAATATGTAAATACATAAGAATTGTGTGATATGTATATCTTCCAAAAAAACTAAAAACAGCTTGCTGTAAATAGCTAGAAAAAGCAGGAGCTTCTGAGAACATGCAAACAAGATCAGCGTAGCTCAAGTGTGTGAATATTAATTGACAGATTCAAACTCCGTGGACAAAGAGATTATCATCCTCAAATGTAGATTCCCAATCCAATCTCCTTTGGATTAGTTTCCACCATCCAAGGGGGCCTGATGAAATTCAAGAGCAAAGATGAACATTATGAAGTTTTCCAGCACCTGAGAAATCGAAGAATGTTCGGTAGAAGAGCTTTACTTGTTCATCACAAAGTTGGAAGTTCCATCAGCAGCACGCTCCAGGAGTTTCTTTCTAGCCTCCACAGCGATTCCCTCGGGCTGCATGCATAATATCAAGGGATAACTACATACAGAGCACTCGAGGCATTATTATCTACAAAATTATCACCCAGCTGATTTTTTGAACTACCGAACCAATGAATTTATACGCGCAACAACCAATCCATTCATAATTTGATAAAAGGCGAAAAACATGCGTTAATATAGTGACTTTTGATATTTGGAGAGAATATGATAAATGGTCAAATGTGTAGGAGATACCTGTTCTGGGAACCAGACACCTGGCTGTGTAGCACCCTCCAGGAGTGCCATGGCAAATGCAGCGGTTGCATTCCCAACAGATCTGTTAAGAGAAATAATAGGATGATGCACATACTGCTGAGTATGAAAAGTTTGAGGTTTCAAATTAACATAATGACACAAACAATATTGAAAGGCGTTAGCATCTTTACATAAATATATAATTCTCTGTGGAAAAAATAAAGCTAGTGTAGAAAGGCCAATTATAAGAAAAGGTAGCATGACAGAGAATACACAAAAGAAAAAAAGATTGGGAAAAAAGTAGAGGTAGACACAACAAAGAATGACAGGAACCTAGTTGGGTTTAGAGGGATGAGAGTGTAGAATGGAAGTAGATCAGAGAAGATAATATTTGCTAAAGTAGGGCTCAAATTCAATCGATTAATGAAAATGATTGACTTACATGAAAGTGGAGATCGCATCTGTATTTGTATTACTCCATAGTCCATGATCATTTTAAATTTAGAGAATACAAAGAGAAGCCAAAAAATATTAAAATTTTCAAGAGAATCCTAGAAGCTGCTGCTTGGTTGCAAGTAGGATTTAAGAGACTCGCAAGTGAGACTTAATAAATCATGTAAATCCGGAGTTGGGAAGTCATGAGGCAGTTAAGCCTAAAAAATTATTTCGCATAAAAAAAAATAAAATTCGATTAAATTGAGGCGCGGTTTGGATTCAAGTCTATAAGCTCAAATAGAATTTTAAAGTCGTTATACAAGTACAATATTAAACAATATGCCCATCACCTACCCCCTTTAATTATCAATTAACAATGAACAAAAAACAAGCACGTCAAAGATTTGAAGTAAATGATCACATTAAACAACACATTTAACCCATTTCCTACAATCACCGTGACGCATTGCTAAATTATAGATTATCAATAAAATTATTGTCTTCATCATTTGCCGCATGCTCACCCAACTTGCTATCATTTTGCATTACAGCTTGAGACATTTTAAAATAAAAATCATGATTATGATAGCAATCAAATAAAATCATGTAACACAACACAAATAATGATAATATCAAGCTGCACACTCAATATACATTATTGCATATGAGTTAGCACATGAAACTATTCTTTCAAAATATCAACTATTTATTCAGCTATGTCACATAGCTATGCATGACAATGGTTGTTCAGTTCCAATGCCATTGACTACCTACGAAATGTGCCTCATGAAACTACAATAGTACTAATATCCTTGAAAGGATGCTATAACTTTAATAGTGTTAGTGTAGCCAAAGTTAACCAAATAATAACTTTCCTTTTGAGAAAAAACTGCTTCTTTCACCAAATCATAGCGCCCTTATATATGTTGTTGATACCTCCCATCCAGAAACGACGAAAACAGATTATAGATCAAATAAGACAACCACCATCACATTTTGAAAAATAAATCTTATTCTATTTTAGATTTATTTTGCAATTCTCAGCCAACAATTACGAGTACATGTGTACAATCAATTTTGCTCCAATTGAGTTGCCAAAGTAATGATGAAAATGCGAATTTGCTCTAAAAAAAAAGATGAAAATCTGCTTCAATCATGGCAAATTGATGACTTATCTGCCAGTAACAGGATTGCTTTTAGCACATTCTTAAAGTCCCAGCATACCATTTCCAATGAAATCTGGAAGGCTTCACACAATTGTCGATAACTTTGGTCATGTGCAATGCTTCTAAGAAATATCCTAAGCTCTTTGTCTATAGCTATGTTCTTTGTGTCGCTAAGTGGGGCGAGACCTATCCAAATACCTAATAGCTGCACAACTGCCTCAACTGGTAAGCCTGAAGCAGTTATATGCCTCAAATGGTAAGCCTGAAGCAGTTATAGGGGTGCAATGAATGACCAACCAATACATTTGTCACATACTAACGCCCAGTGTATCGTCTATCAAACTTGGGTCCGCAAATGAAATTGCTAATCTGAGGAACTACTAACCTCCATAACCACATGAATCGGCTTATTGATAGGCAATAGCATCCTTCAATTTTTTGTAATGCCAACTCACCTTGGCCTAGTTGTTGAGAGCTCTATTTTCAAACAAGAGGTTTTGGTTTCAGGGCCTTATATATGCAGTGTGCATGCATCTGTGTGTGTGTGTGTGTATGGGGGAAGATACCTTCAATTTTATGTAATTATAGTTTATTATACGTGCCTTCCAAATAATTAAGCATTTATGTATATCAAATACTATAAAGTTGTATGCAAACAAAGAAAATATCACTTCCAAAGATGTGATAAAATCATTCACTCTGAGATTACAAAGCAATAATGAAATAGCTACTATCATCCCTTGGCCATAAAGCCCTATCAACCAAACAGAACAAACATGGAAATGCGGACTGACAAAAACATGTTAATTCCAAGTGCAAAGCATTTTCCCATCACATCTCATCAATATGATTCCTTTATTGAACTGTGACTTGTAGAAAAAGTTTCACTTGAAATGTTCTCAATGTTACAAAGACTTTTCAGGCACTTGCTCATCTTCACTAGAGCATGTCAATCAAGTGAATGCTTCAAAATTTCAACATTCTCAATCAGCATAACTGTGTTAGAATATATCCTACCTATAAAATAGATTCCTCCGAACACCCACACACTCTGTAATTTTATTGATCATATTGCATATTTCATGCCTTAAAAATTTAAAGGTGTCTATTGAGTTGTCCACCAAGTTTAAGCTGTTTCTAAATTTGATTTTGTTGCATTAATTGCAAATCCTACAAGATGAATGGTTGACCATCATCACAAAGGGTATTCTCATAAGCAATATACTTTCTTTGGGGATGCGTAATAGTTGAGTAAGCAGTTTTATTTCTTTCCCGACATATATGTTAGATTTTTTTTAACTGTTCAATTGGCTCTTAATTTAATTTCATTAGTGAATTGTATCACTTTTTTATGTTAATTTGTTATGTTTGTTGACCACGCTTTCGATCGAGGTGTAGTTTTCCCCTCCTTAGTAGCCTAGGATCTAGCCGTAGGACCTTTCTATCGACTACTCTTAGAAAACTAGTGAAGGAGCCCTCTCCGTTAGCAATTCTGAACTTTTCTTCGCTCGACTTGACGTTCCATGTGGTAGTCTTGATCTCTATTGCTTAGCAGGTAAGACTACTCCGAAGGAACTCAGGTGCTGCTGGGTTCCTTTTGTACACCAACTTACACCCAATAGCCTTCTTTCCCTCAAGAAGATGAACTAGTTCTCAAGTGTGATTTTTCCGTAAAGACTCCATCTCCTCAACCATTGCACCCTTACATTTTTTTTTCTCCTAGCTAGTGATAGCTCCTTGAATATTGGTTGAATCATCGCTGCTGATGAGAAGTGCACAAGATAACAAGTCTTCATAGCCCAGTCTGCTAGAAGGCCTTATATTGGTGCGTCTCTGTCTGTCTCTGGCTAGATTATAATTCTGCAGATCATCTGGAATGGAATCACCAGGTGTTGGATTTGAACCTTCAACTCCCTCAGTTGTTTTTGGATGTTCTAAATCCATCTGCACTGCATTTGAACTTAAATTGTTCCCTAATACATTGTTTTGATTTTGCTGTAACATGGACTGTTCATCCAAAACTGCATCTTTGCTGATCACCATCTTGTTTGCAATCAGATCCCAAAACTTATATCCTTTCACACATTTCTTATAGCCCAGAAAGATGCACTTCTTTGATTTTGCATCAAGTTTTGATCTTTCATCTCCAGGTACATGCACATAAGCAGGAAAACTAAAAAAGCGTAAATGATCGAAATTAACTAGATTACCTGTCCATACATCTTCTGCGAACTTGCCACACAATAATGCCCGATGTGATCTATTAATGAGATAACATGTCATATTCACAGCCTCTGCCCAGAAACTCTTACGAAGCCCTGCATTCAGTCTCAAGAATCTTGCCCTTTCAGTTAAGGACCTGTTCATCTTTTATGCCACACCATTCTGCTGTGGTGTTTTGCGCACTAAAAAATGTCTCTGAATCCCATTCTCCTCAAAAAACTTCTAAAACTATGAATCTGTGTACTCTGTGTCATTATTGGACCTCAAATACTTGATATTTCTGCCAGTTTGGTTCTCCACCTCAGCTTTCCACAGCTTGAATTTAGAGAAGACTTCAGATTTATGCTTCAAAAAATACACCTAAACTTTTATGGAGAAGTCATCAATAAAGGTAACAAAATACTGAGATCCTCCCAATGACGATTCCCTGGTAGGGCCCCATACATCAGAATGCACATAATTAAGAATCCCTTCAGTTTTATGTTTTCCAGTCATAAAATTATATCTAGTCTGTTTTCCAAAAACACATAACTTACAAAGATCGAGCTTACAACTTTTAACACCATGCAACATATTTCTTCTATGCAATTCCGCCATCCCACGTTCACTGAGATGACCCAAACACATATATCATAGCTTTGTACTATCATCATCTGACTCCACAGAATGAACTCCACCTACAACTGTACTCCCTAATAGTTTGTAAATATTGTATGCAGTTAACTTTCCTTTCATCACCGTCAGTGCACCCTTAACAATTCCGATAGTTTCCTTATCCTCATCTGCCTTAGGAATAAAATCATTTATGTATAGAGTGTCCAAGGAAATCAAATTCTTCTTCAGATCTGGAATATGTCTGACATCACATAACGTTCTAACTGTGTCATCATACATCTTAATTCTGACTTCTCCAATACCAACAATAATTCTGACCTCTCCAATACCAATAATATTGCAACATCTATCATCACCTAGATAAACTGAGCCAGAATTAGTTGACCTGTATGAAGTAAACCACTCACTGTTATGTGTTATGTGATAAAAGCGCCCTGAATTAAAAATTCATGCATCAGTGAACTGAGTTGATGAAACTGAAAGCATATCGCCATCACTGCAATCTGAATTGTCATTCTGCACCACATTTACAGACTTCGATGATCGATGATCCATCATGATCCATCACCTTTCTCCCCAGTCTGCTTCTTGAGTTTTAGACAATCTCTCTTCATATGACCTACATCGTTGCAATTATAACAAT